TCTACATCCCTTTCTTTAAAGCTTAGCTGGTGTCTAGGTGGGAGTCCCTGAATATAGGTGCATGTGCTTATGAATATGCACCCATCACACATGCAGATAGATGCATCTGCATTCTCCTCAAGGGTATAAACTGCACAAATAAGTAGCTGATGCACCTGCTCTCACGAAGAGCCTCCATCAGCTGCCTAACTGGGATTAGGCTTGTGTCTGGATGTTCCTTCAGGACTAGTTCCTAAATTCCTCCATCCAGCTGTGCTTTCCAGCTCCTCTGCAGCTAAGAGTCAGTGGATAGCACCGCAGGTAAATTGTAGGGTTGGGATTCTGGCACGATCATGAAATGGAAAAAACCAAACCAAAACAAAAGACATGGTGCTTTTACCCCCACAACCCAACTTTTCTGTTGTCTAGAATTCCATGTGAAGACCAGAGCTCCAGAAGGTACCTTGAACCAAGAAGCTTGGAGGAGGCAGCCAACTGCTAAGAACAGCAACTCAGGAAGAATGGATACTGATGATAGAGAACCCTGTCTCCTGCTACAAAATGAAACTGTTCATGCACTGGGTTTGTATGGTTTCCTCTTATGGCAGTCTCTAAATTTTCTTCACAAGTTTTCTGTTTACAAAGCTTTTAGCTGATAGGGTTCATTGATTAGCTTCAGATTGGCAGGCCTAGTTAAGGTCAGCCCTATCACTGGGCCAGTGTAGCCTTCAGCCGTGGCTCCCTGCCACCTTCCATCTCCTAGAAAGAAGGAATGGAAGCATCATGTGGATGAAGTGGTGGCTGTCCTGTGCCTTGGTTTCTTTGAGCTCAATAGCAACACTAGAGAAAATAGTTGGAGGAAAGTGGAATGGGAAAACTCCCAACAGGGTACCTCCCTTCTTAAACACTGTCCAGGAATGCATTGTTTGAATATGCTCATGATGCTGCTTAAAACAAACAAACAAACAAAAACTATCAAGAGCAGATGTAGTGTGTGGGGGGAGTTAGATAGGTGAGGCTCAAGGAAGAGTGGGAAGAGATTAGAGACAGAGCAAGCTCAGAACAGTTCTTGAGAAATTCATCCTGAAAGTGATGATGGGAAGCAAGGCCATGAGGAGACTCCACAGGCATGAGCCTGCAGGCAGCCTGCTTGAGGTCTAGACTGTTCTACAGAACAGCTGTCCTCTTTATTTTCTTTGTTTCATCTAACATTACTTTTAATTTAATTTTTAATGTGGTCTGAACATTTAATATGAAATCTACCCTCTTTGTTATGTGCAGGTGGGAATTGCAGAGAAATGGTATACAATGTTGTGTTGCATTTGCTTGCAGCTTACTCATCTTGTCCATTGGTATCATTTTCATGCACTTCATATCCATTAATAGAATTTTCCTATTACTGACTTCCCAAGCCTTAGCAACTGGCATTCTACGCCCAACTTCTGTGAATTTGATTATATATGCATATATAACACAATACATATAAATATTTTTTATTATATATACACATCTATGCATACATATATGAGAGGGTGGGTGGTGTGCATGCATGCTCATGTGTGTGGAGTTCAGAGGTCAACCTCTTATATCATTTCTCAGGAACTATACACCTTGTTCTTTGAGACAGGATCTGTCATTGCGATCTAGACTGGAAAACTAGTGAGCCCTAAAGATCCAACTTTGTCACTCTGTGTCATCTCACAGTGATGTGATTAGAGTGCATGCCACTTGGTCTGGTATTTTATGAAGATGCTGTGGACCAAACTCAGGTCTTCATGCACTTTACTATTTTACTATGCCATTTTCCTAATCTGCTATCTATCTATCTATCTATCTATCTATCTATCTATCTATCTATCTATCTATCAATCATTTATCTATCCATCCACCCATCCATCCACCCACCCATCCATATGTGTATGTGTAAAAATGTACTTTTACACACACACACACACACACACACACACACACATACACACACACGGGGAACTTACTATGCAATCTAGGCTAGCCTGTAACTCACTATGTAGCCCAGGCTAGCTTTGAATTCATGGAGAATTCTGCTGCATCCTCTCAAATGCTAAGATTGCAGATATAAGAATCATAGTTGACTGAGTTTGGTTATATTAATTGGCTAAGTTTTGTTATATTAGGTATATCATTTAAATGGTAAAAAGAAAATAATGGGGAAAATATCCATAGACTAGATTTCAAGTATTGACATTTTACCCTTACTCTCATTCTCTTGAATGACAGAAACCACATGTTGCACTGGTAGGGGGTAGGAGTGAGATTTGGGGGTGGGACATGTCAAAAACCCTGGTTCTAGGAAGATAATATTCCCTGTCACTGGAGTGGAAAAGAGAGGCACTTTCTGTCTTGGTATTTTCCATTTGGTTAATCTGACACTTAATGACTTGAAACAAGTAGAATGATAAGGAAGCAAATGCTGCTCCAATTCTTATATTACATAATTCCATTTCTGCTCTTAAGCATGCTAAGCTGGTTGGAAGAAAATCTGCTAAATTAAATTTGGTTTGATTAGGAAATTTGCGTCATGTTCAGGCAAAATACGGCATGTGTGGGTTAAAAAATGTTCTGGTTATTTAAAAAAATGTTTTACAGATGATTCAGTTTTACCATAGCTTCATTAGTGAACTAAATTTGTATTCCCAAGGATGTGTTGGGGTAGACTTTGCTTTGGCCCTTTGTTGGGAAATCTCTCAAGTTCCAGGCTGTTGGTCCTGTGTGAGGAAAAGTACTATGGCCTCAAAGGCTGGCTGGGACATTTGGGTGTCTTTGTGTCCTTCCTGTTCCACTCCCTGAGACACCTTCATGGGTCACTTCCTTTTCATAAACTTTAGCCTGCTTCTCATCAGTTTTCCCATCATGCGCCTCGAGTCTCCTCTTCATTGGTCTAAGTCCTTAGCTGCATTTCAACACACAGTGTCACCGTCCACTTTACTGCCAAACTCTAAACAAAGGCATGGAGAGATTTAAGGGGAATTGTCTGGTGTTTCAGGCTGAGGAAGAGACTTGAGAGAAGGTCAAATGTTGCTGTAGGGTGCAGGGCCAGGGCAGTTAGTTAGCCAAGAGCAAATGGCAGAGTCCAGGAGCTGCTGTTTTGTAGGTAGTAGAGACCCACTTTTCAAGCTCAGTCTCTATGGGGATGAACAATAGAACCTTGCATTTTACAGTCTTTGACAAGCATCCAATGAGTATATGAAGATTAAAAAATAGGTGGAGCTTTCCAGTTATTTTAGGTGTGTGATTATTGGGCAAAGAAGGCACTGCATGGACACACAGACAGAATATTTCCCCAAACTTCAGAGACTGTGCTGAGGACCAGGGCCACAAGGCAACCCAGAGAGCTATAAGAAGGTGTCCAGATGCAAGTGTCTGGCTGTGGTCTTTTCATTCACTAAAGGTCTAGTCATTTTCTATGCTCTTTTCCTCTTTATCTGTTTTGTTCATGGAATGATAATTTGTAGGCTAGAGTGCACAGGTAGTTTTGAAACAGGCTATGTGGGGCACACTTCTAGAAAGGAATAGCACCATGTCATGCCAGATAATTCTCTTATGTTTCCATTCCCTGGCCAATCCCCCTTCTTCTTGAGGTAATAATGATTACACCAATTCCTATACACCAATTGCTATAGACTGATGATGCCTTTTGTAGAAATACGTAAAAATGAATTTGTAGATTGCTCCTTTAGGTCTAAGGCTTCATGCCTCAGGCATGTAGAGAAACTTCCATGGCTTCAGTGTCTGAAACCAAAGGAAGTGCATGGGTATTCTGAGGTCGCTGGGGTTGTGCAATGGTGAGGAGGACTTAGATGACAGTATAATTGGGGATCGATAATGAGGAAGCTGAACTGGGGGCCTCATAGCTACCCTTCTCATCCTCAAACAGCACAGCTGTAATTTTGCATGTTGTACAAATTGGGGTTCACTGAAAAGTTGCATCTGTGTAAGGGGAACATTAATTAATAAAGAGTTATCTATGTTAGCAGCATGGGAAATATTAATCATTACATTTTGTTTTTAAGAACCACACTTCTCAAGATTCTTAAGTTACCCCCCCCCTTTTTTGTGTGTGACAGTCCATAAATTTCCAGCATTGTTTTCTGATAAGAGAGGGGTGACAGCCCTGGAGGGAGGGCTGGGGAACAGAGACAGCGGGACTGGGGGCTCCCAAGGGAGAGCTTGGGCACCGGGCCCTGTAATATTAGTATTGGCTACCATCAGACAGCACCAGCCCAACCATAGTACCTAGACAACAGGCCAGAGGCCACAGGCAAGGGAGGCACAAAGACAGCATTCAAAAGACCCCGCTGTTGCCAGCCAGCACGTTCATAGACTCCAGCAGACCCAGGCCAGGCCTGCACACTACCCCACAGCCAGAAAGCAGAAACCCCCTTTTTTATGGTGAGCTTTTAAGATGCTAAAAATAATAAACACAGAAAGGAAAGTGCTGACACAGCCTTAGATGCAGAGACAAACGGAAACTGTTGCTCTAATGCTGAAAACAAACCAGCTTCATAATTATAGCCCGGCATCCCAAACAGGGTGATTGCTATGACCACACTCCTCTAGGACGAAGGGCAGCCCAGAGGACTTATCAGCAAACCAAGGAAACCTCCATCCACCTGCTCACCCCTCCCTGCCCACTCTGGCCAAAGCTTATCTAATTCTTGGGCTGTTTCCCCCCACCCCCTGCACTCAAGGAAAAGACACTTGAGATGGGATCTGATTCTTCAAGCACAATTTTCTTGTGAAACAAGAGGAATGGCCTTTTCCACCCAGCATTCTGTGACTGCCATTCTTCCCCAAGTAAATTTACCCCATTTCTTTTCCTCGATACAGTGTTAGCCACATGATTCCTTGTATGTCTCTGGAATACCAGCCGCGGTCATGTTAAATACATTTTTTAAAGAAGTGGTGCTGACACAAGCTTGAAAGTAAACAGGTCAACTAAGAGCAAAGATCTGCAATAATAAAAAGTGAAGGCTGACTCTGACCTTATTCATTAAGTCATGTGTGGGGCTGGGTACCACGCAGGTCCTCCCACGAGTCGGAAACCACAGACCTGGAAAAGATGAAACACAAGAGAAACATAAATTGTTTTTTCAAATTTAAGTTTCCCAACATTTGGTTAATCAGTACCTGCTCTTATTTCTGTCTGGGGTCTGGTTTCAGAGCTGTCTCTGATTTTGACTAAATGCAAATTAACCTCAGATAAAATCTCATTCTGAACTGGACATAGTTTCATGGAAGGAGACTCTAATACTAGGCTGTAATCACAGAGCTCAAGCAGGCGACAACCTTCCTGCCTTCCAAAGACCTACTTTTCTATGGGGATTCAAGAACAACACCCAACAGTTTTACACTCCCAGCCTGGGAAGATGGCTAAGAGACAAACAAGAACCTCCAGGTTATGGGAGATTTCATGCTAATGAGTGGCAGTTTCCTATTCCTGGGGATGAGCCAGCACCCTGTGTCGGTGAAGGTGTGGCTTCCATGCACCTGCAGTGACAGAGGGCTGCATGGGGCCTCAGCCCAGCCCAGAGTGGAGTTACCTAGAGAGTTTATTCCATGTGACCTATGGGGAACACTTTCTGCAGCTAGAAACACAAGGTGGCACCTGCTGGGAGCAGGTGGCAGTTGGGGAAGCACCTGTGTCTAAGATCTGTCAGTTCTGGCCTTATAATTTTTGTGATTGTTGTGGGGCTCAGAAGTCACAGCCAGAGGTCAGGAGCATAAATATCTGCATTCCTGACACTCAGAACTGAAGATGTCATCCACCCTTTCATTTCTGTTCTACCAAAATAATGAAAACAGCATGGGTATAATTTTCTTGATAACCTGCCCTAAGCTTAGATCATAAATTGATGCATAAATTGCCAGTCTTTGCTTTTTTTGTATTCACAAAAATATCTATGTATCCATGACAACAGTGTGGGTGATTTCTGAGTTTTGTTTTTGAGACAAGGTCCCATTTTTGAAGCCTAGGCTGTCCTTGAACTCGGTCTATAGTCCAGGCTGGACCCAAACTCATGGTGATCCTCCTGTTTCAGTGTTGTGAGTACTGGGATTACAACAGTGAATTGCCATTGCTTGACTGGGGCTTTGGAGGTTGGGTTAGGGTTAGGTGTGTGTTGGAAACATTCTATTACTAAACTGTCACGTGCTGTTTGAGTTCACCAAAGAGCTGGCTCTGGAGAGCAGGTTGTTTCCATTCTGCCTACTGTAGACTCAAGCATATTTGTCTCAATGCATCTTTTAAGTTTCCTTTGGCCTGCTGACTTAGTGGGAAGGGTAAGGGAGAAGAACAAAACAGCCCCAAAGAAAAGCCATTAGTCTCTAAGAACACCTAGAAAGGCAGACCATTTCCAGCACAGGTTATGTTTGTTTGTCTCATGATATAAAAATTCCTGCAGTGCTGGGGTAAGTGACGTGCACACCATGCCCAACTTTTCACGGGCATACCGTGACGCCGAGCTCAGCTCCTCATTCTTGCAGAGCAAGAAGTCTGCTCACCCAGCCATCACCACAACCTGGACATTTAACATTTACTGTGTCGTGTGACTTCCTGTCTACATTATTTTGAATCACATATAGTAACTGTACCAAGTTCCGGGCTTTGCTATATTTTCTATATTCATGAATGTACTTTAATTACATCTGTGCGACCCCCCCCCCACACCTTTCATACCCACCTTCCCTCCCTCCCTTTTCCTTTATATAAGGGCTCTCCCCAGCACAGTGCATAAACCCTCATCCTGTCTCTCCACTCTGTGTTTATAACACCAGAAAAGCTCTGTTTATTACATTGAAGGGATGCCTGTTCACTCAACTGTGTGCAATGCATGTTGGGTATGTGCAGATTTTCTCTGCTATCCCCACTCCCAGTCTTTTGATGAAGCTCCAACTTGTCTTCATGAAGGTTTATCCACACTATGCATCCATGGAGAGAACACATGCCATGCATATACAGGCAATGCATACTTATTAAAATTTACCATTGCTAACATGTGTCACTTGAAAACCACATTAAAGAGGACTGTGGAATTGTATTCACCCATTTTCTTCAAAAATCTCTTTCTACTGCTCTTGTCATAAACTTTCTAATCTAAAACCTACAACTTTATCACCCTGTGAGTAGAAAAGCTGATAGTATTAGGCTACACACCAAGGCACAGAGAAGTGTGCTATATCCTAAGAGCATTTTCAAAGAGAAGTCAATACAACAAAGAGGCTTGTGTTTGAAGCTGTTTGGTTTTATTGCAGTTTCAAGTACATGCACACCCTTAGCCTTGACATTAATATCTAAAAATAAACAGTGCCTTTTGTAGAAACTATATCAAACTTCAATACGTATGGATATAGAGTAATAATTTAGTTCTGATTTAGACTCTAAGGAAGAAACTTGAACTTGATTACATGAAAACAATAGAAAGCCTCACATAATTCACATTAAAAAGTTTTAAAAAAAAATCTTTGTTCTTTTTCAAGACACTGTGTGCAAGACCAGCCTGGAACTCACTATGTAGTCCAGGCTGGCTTAGAATCCACGTGGTCTTCTAACCCACTTCATTCATAAACTTTGACTAAGTATACTTTATGGTTTATAGTAATAATTTCACACACATTAGTCCTCACAGTGACCACATGGGACAGACGGTATAAATGGGCTTGTTTTCCAGATTTGGAAAGGGAAGGTAGGGAAAGAGTGAGGCAGACATTGGTGAGGGGTTCCACTCGGGGAGTCTGATGTCATAGGTTTGTTCCCATTGCCTGGAACAAGTTTCAGTTTTCAAGTTGAAACTGTTAAGAACCTGGTGCCATGGAGGTGGCCCCCAGAATCTGTGTGTAGACAACATCTCTTTCATGGTGTGTTCCTGAGAGGCAACCTCATTCGAGTCCGCCTAGGAGACAAGCTCAGGGGTGATTTGGCTGTGTTGAAGGCCAGTTAAAGGCGGGAGCTGAAGCAAAACCCTCCCAACCTAAACACGCCCGGTTTTAACTCTTCTCTTAGGAAACAGGCAACTGAGCGTTTGCTCAGAGCTCAAAGGACTGCCAAAGTCATAATGAGAAGCCTTCCCTGGAGAACCTTAGTTCAGAATGTGTGTCTTTTACACCTTTTAAAATTTGGGGCACAAATATGTTACTAGTGTGGTTATTTTGGAGTTTCAACAGAATACTGTTTTGTTACTGATTCATTTTCCAACTTGGGATACTTTTATTTGTGGGCGTGAAGTGGTTCATTTTGTTTAGTCATCTGACCTGAGGTGAGGTTGCTAGACTGCTCCCAATTAATGCAAATTGAAGGGTAAAGGAGAAACAGAGATTCTTTAACTCAGTTCACAAATCTGTTATAAACAGCTCTTCACTTGATCTATTTTAGGGCAGGGCGTAACTGTGAACAAACAAAACAGCACCAAAGAAACTAGCAATTACATAACATGTAATTTTACTACAAAGCTTTGAAAGGGTTAAATTTATATCTAAGTTATTTGTTTATTTATTTTGAGACAGGATTTCCCTATGTAGCCAGGAACTGGTTATGCTAACTAGGCTGGCCTCAAACATACAGAGAGTGGCTTGTTTCTGCCTCCTGAGTACTGGGATGAAAGGTGTGGACCACCATTATCTGGCTAATCAAAAATCAATTCCCTAGCCATCTATTTGACTGTTTACCTCTTTAGTCTCTCAGCTCTCACCCGAGGTAGACTAAAGTGTGTGATCAGCTTATGTTCCTTTGTTTCTGATTTTTTAAGTCTTTTTAAATGTTATTTTGGCAGTCACACTGCTTTCCCTTATACCACACAGTCACAGCTGCAGAAGCCAGTGAGGTCTTTTCTTAGTGCCATATTTTACATACATTGTAGAGGTTCCAGTTTTCAGAAACATAAGGTATTTCGTGGGGCAATCTGCTGAATGGCAGTTGCCCCTTTACATTGAGAGCAACATTTCTGAATAGACTAGAGAGGTTGTTCCAGTCATGCATGAAGCCCGAGGTCCCATTTTCCCATGAGAGACGCAGAAGAGGACATCAGATTCCCTGGAGCTGGAGTTACAGGTGGCTCTGCAGTCCCTGACGTGAGTGCCAGGGGCCAAACTCAGGTCCTCTGCAGAGCAGTGACCATGCTTAACCATCTGTGATTTTCTTGATGCATCCTTTTAAAAAAGTTATTAGTTATTGTGTGACCTCTCTGTCCTTCCCTTTTCCTACTCCTTCCTCCATGGGTTGCTCCTTCTGTCTTGTAGGCTGATGGTATGGCTGTTAATGCCTTACAGTTTTTGGAGAAATTCTTACTCCTTCGGCTTTTGCTTTTTAAAACCTGGGTGGTACAGATTGTTTTTCTGACTTTTCCTTGTACAGATTGCTTATTGTCATGAGACATAGCTTTTGAAGGATTCAAATACTTAACACCATAATAATAATGTATGCCACCCTCCCTTGCTCCCTGCACTAAGTCTGTCCCCTAACTGCTCAGTGAAGAAGTTGAGTCTTTCCCCCTGCATCCTTCAGGTCTGTTTTTGGTCACATGACCTTTGCCCTGTAGAAATTTTATCAGATGTGCTAACGTAGAAGTTTGAGAGAGGTCTTGCTCCATTTGAGTGCTCTCTGCTGCCCCATGATTACCTTGGGGACAGGCCTGACCTCGTCTTTCACAGATCAGAATTGCACAGGGGAAGTGGCTCGCATTAACTGTCCCATAAAGTGAAGATGACAGAGCTAGACAGCTGCTGTTGCCCACAGAATCCCAAGTGAGCTCCAGTTGGGCCAAAGGACCCACCCTGCTAACCTTGGACCCATGAAGTCATAAATGTGGATTGTTTCAAGCTTCTGGGTTTGGAGATAATTTTTTTTATTGACGAAGGGAGCCCAGATAATATCACTGAGTACTTCTTACTGATACAGGGCTTATCTGTTGTACTGAGGGATGACCACACAGAAGACAGTTTAAAACCAGGCAATAAATTCAGCAAATATCTGCCAAATGTTGGCTGGATCATGAAAGATTTATATGGGACATAAAGATAAGCCAAGTGAGACAGAAGTACTACACAGAAACAGGAATATACAAGC